ATATAGTAATATAAATATAAACTATATAGTTTATATACATACTTATACTTTATATACTTAAATGCTTTATATTATATACTTATATACTTTAGTCTTTATAATTATACTTTATATAATTTATATATAATACTTATATACTTTATATTATTATATACGTATATATACTTCATATTTAATACTAATATATTTTATATTTTATACTTATATACTTTATATTATTTGCTTATATACTTTAGTCTTTATAATTATACTTTATATATATATATTATATGTATATATACTTTATACTAAAACTTTTTATATATATATACTTATACTTTATATTATTTCGATTTGGTCCATCGTCAATGCGCGTTGTTTAATTTATTTAATTTTTTACTTGTAATTTCATATTTGTTCAATTTAGTCCTTAATTTTATATTTTTCATAAAATTGATCCATGATTATTTATATTCTTAGTAATTTACTCTAAATCATATACAATTACAAATTGCAATTCAATGTTCGCGAAATATGAAAATAATTAATCCAAAAATAAAAATTGACCCGATTTGAACTCAATCCATATCTGATAAAGATCCGACCTGAATTTTATCTTCCAATGATGTCACCCTATTTGAACGAGATTTGCCTGAAGTCCATCCGAACCTGAATTAACATGGTCTTTATCTGCTCTGGACCTGAACTGTTTTGACTTGAACTGACATCGATCCGAATTGAAAGTAACCCGACCTGAACCCGAATTGTACCAGGTGTCAAATCAACATGAAAATGACCCGACCTGATCCGAGTCGAAGCATCAAATTTACCTAACTTGACCAATCTCCGATTTTACCCGACCTGATAGGATCTGAATGAAACCTGAACGATTACCCGATTTTACATCCCTAGTAGAATGTGTCAACAGGGGCGGATGTAGGTGGCTCCCTAAGGGAGCCACTACACACCTATTATTTTGAAAAAAATATTAAATTTAGTTTAATTTGTTAACGAAAATAGGGGAAAAATTGGCTTACCTAAAATTTTTAGAATAGAACAATAAAATTTTGGACTCCCATTTTTTAATTTCTGAATCCGCCACTGTATGTAAATTTATATCGTAGAATATGTCAACACATTGTAAACAACACATTTAACTGTTTTCAAGAATATGTGAACCAACCCCATTAGACATTCCGAAATAAATATTAAATACACTTAAAAAATGTTTTCAAGAAAAATAATGAAATCGCATGAATCAAATTATCTGAGTGGTTAAAGAATAATTGTTATTCTTAGAGGTCTCGAGTTCGAACATCAACGACTGCAATACAAATGACTAAGCATTTATCGTCCGAGAGTATTTAGAATAAATATTACTCTTTACAATCACATTAGCTTAATAAAAAAAAGAAAAATAATGAAACCAAATGGCTTGTCTCTTCTCGATTTTGCAACATCATTCACTCAGTTTTCTGTCATTGAATTTTGTATTCATCTTTGAAACATGGTGCTTTATCCCCTCGAAATGCTTCGATAAATTATTTATTTTCGTCCAATTGAAGAATGGAAACCTTCTCTATTTCTGGGCCAACCTCGCTCGATGCTTGTAGAATCATGGGCTTGAAATCCTCTATCAAAAGTTCCATGATTCCATCTGGATAAGTTGAGATTACTTCTGATGAGATTAAAAGAGTGGTGACGAGAGTTTTCTTTTAACGTAACTAGACCTAAAAAAGGGAAAAAAGTACTTAAGATTTGTTTACCAGAGATAACGTCTTGTAAAATAACTTCAAATAAACACCTAGGATAATCAAATGTAAAGGACACAAGGAAAGAATAAGATGACGTAAAGTTGGCCAACATATGAGTTGCTTTATTAGCCTTTAGTCGAATGGATCAAATGTTGAAACCAAGTTTGACTTCCAAGATTTGTCGTGCTTCAAGTAAGGTAAACCGAATGGTGGAGTAATTGTTGAACCATTAGAGCATCACTTTCAACCATTACCTGTGTATAACCTAAATATTTTCCAAGCCGAAGACCAAAACAAATAGCTTATGCTTCGACGTAGTAAACATGCGGGGACAAATAATACACCTAGTACGACTGGTCAACACAAACTCATTTGAGTCCAATAAAATGTATGCGTGGCAGAATTGTTAGGTCGTTGCTGTAGCAATCGATACTGGGACATAAAGTATTGAAAGCATACACCCATTGTGTTAAAGTTTTCCATAAAATCATAACCTTAGCAAGAATCTAATGCATTCCTCATACATTTCACTATTTAAAAAAATTATCATCGAACTTCATCAAAAAGAGTTTAAAATTTTCATCAACTACATCAACATCCTAATCCTAATGCAGCAAAAATATGAACAAAAAATGTAACATGAACATGACGAATGCAAATGCAACGTAAAAAAATTGAGAAACACTCCCCAAACCTGAGTTGTGCATTACCCTCAATGCATACAAAAAATAAATAAAAATAGAAAAAAAAAAACATAAGAGAAAAGACAACAATACTCCCCCAATGATGTTGAGGATGTTGTGCAGTAATGGTTATTTGGAACTCCAACTAATGTTGTGAAGCAAAGACATCAATAACATTACAAACTGAGGATGATGTGGTGATCAATGTGGGGGCATTACATGAAAAAACTTGAGATAAAATCATTAAATATAATAAATAAATAAATAATAAATAAAATCTAATATAATTTCATAAAAAGACTTATTGAAAGCATATAAAAAATTATTTCACATAGTGAAATTGAAGTTTGTGGTAACTTCTCTTGGGTCCTAGTAAAAATGATATCCCTTTTTGCTTGTTGATGATTGCTATGACATAATCGTACAACTTCAAATCCTTTATGCTTATGGGATCAAAAAATTGTTCAAAGCAAAACTCTTGTTTGCTGTAATCAGTCATGAAGTGAACTTTTTCATTGTCGCCATAGAGATGTTGTGGCTTCATAGGTTGAATTTTCAAATGAGAGCCTTTACCCTCAATGCCTTACGAAACCTTTCTTGTTGCCCTCACTGCTGCTGTGTCATTTTGCACCATAGTAGCATTTGCAGGTTTGCTCAGGTGCTTATGCTGTGACTATATAGTCGATATTAGCGATGCAAAACTATTGTTGATGACAGGATCAATGTAGAAGCATTGGTTACCCTCGATTAGTCTGAGTCTTCAGTTGTCACAACAATATTAAAGAATTCTTAAATGCTTTTATATTCATCTAATTACTCTTGTACTATTACTTCAACAATATTAACAAGATGACATTCCTCATCTTCATTACATTGCAGTGGGTCAAACACATTGAATGTAATTTGTTGGTCATTGAGATGTAATGTGAGTTCTCCATTTTCAACATCAATCAGTGTTCTTCCAGTAGTAAGGAATGATCTTCCTATTATTATAGGCACCTTTTTATCGACTTCATAGTCCAAGACAATGAAAACAACTTGATAGATAAAATTTTCCACTTGTATTAGTATATATTGTTATTTTTGCCTTCAAAATGGACAATGGATTGGTCAACAAGTTGAAGTGTAACTGTTGTGGGTTGTGCTTTACCAATGTCAAGTTTCCTAAAAATAGACAAAGGCATTAAGTTAATGTTGGAACCTAAGTCACACAAAGATCTACCTATGTATTGATTACCAATAGTAAAAGGAATAGTAAAATACCCTGAATCCTTTAATTTTTGGGGCAATTGTCTTGTGACAATGGTGCTACACCCTTCAGTGAGTGTAACAATCTCAAAATCTCCAATCCCAGGTTTCTTAGAAAGCATCTCCTTCATAAATTTGACATAGTCCAGTGTTTGCTCCAATGCTTTCAATAATGGTATGTTAATGCACAATTGCCTCAGCACATCAAGAAATTTCTTGAAATGTTTATCCTCCTTGCTTTTTTAGAATCTTTGGGAGAATGAAAGTGAAAGTCTTGGATTATATTGCATTGACAATGCTGGTGACATCACTTGTGGCAGTGTTGTCAGAATTACTGGTGGTAATGTCCAGAATTACTGATTTGTCCTGTATCCTTTACTGTAGCATTAACGCTAGGTGATTTAATCATTTTTTTTCTGTTCCTTACCTTTCGATTGTTTTCTAGGTCTCTCATTTTCTTTCTTTTTGTTCTCATTATGGTTCCCAAATTGGAGTCCACTTCTCATTGTGATAGCCTTGCAATGCACATTTCCATTTGCCTTAGGAACTTTAGTATCACTCGACAATGCTCCTTGTGGTCTGCTACTTAATGCATTAGCCAATTGTCCAACTTGATTCTCCAATGCTCTCAGTGATGTTGATTGGCTTTGGATCACAACTTCATTTATTGATATGTAATCCTTTAGAATAGACTCAAGTGATGTTGACGATGAAGCATGGCTAGAATACTGCTCTCGGTAACTATGTTGATTGTTGCGTTGTTGTGGCTGCATTTTATGATGATATGACTATTAATGTTGTCGCATCGGCTATTGCTGTGTATATTGTTATTGCTGATAGTGTGTGTATTCCCAAAAGTGGATTTTAATGCTACATTGAGGTTGAGATAATTCTAGAAATTTGGATTGTAGGTGCTCGCATATATGTTGGAATTGTAGTTCCTGTTATATTTCTAAAAAAATACACAAACTCGGGGTTTTGTGAACATTCATCAAAATTATGGTTATCACCAAAATAAATACAATTAACAAAAGATGTAATTTTTATCTCATACGTACCTCTAGGATTTTGCATTTTCTTTATCATTTCAGTTAATGCTATCACTTGTGTGGTCAGTGTATTTAGAGCATCATTGTCCGCTGCTGCAACAACACGTCTACCTGATATAATCCTTATATTAGGGTATTGGTAGTATTTGTTGGAAATCCTCTTTAAGATATCATAAGGTTCGTTGTAGGGCTTTTCCAACAATGCTCTATTGGCGGAAGCATCTACAACCATCCTTGTTTTTATGTTAAGTCTATTGTAAAATATCTTTATTTGTGTATAATACTAGAAACCATGCATCATACATTTTTACAGCAAGTTCGTAAACCTCTCCTTTGCTTCATAAAAGTTTTCATTTTTCATTTGCTTGAAAGATGCGATGTCATTTCTCAGCCTTGCATTCATGTTAGGAGGGTTGAATTGCATAAAGAACTTTTGAGCAAGTTTGTTCCATGATACTATAACACTAGGTTTCTACAAGTTAAGCCATGCCTTGGTTTTTTTGCGAAACGAGTATGGGAGTAGCTTCATCTTTAAGGCCTCATAGATAACTCTTTATTGTATAAATGAATCATACACTTCCATAAATGCTCTCAAGGGTGCTCGAGGGTCCTCGGTGTGCATCCCACTATATTTCCCTATTGATTATAGCATTTGGAACATTACTGGCTTCAATTCGAAGTAGGCAACATGGGTGGCAGGATGAACAATGAAAGATTTAAGTCGTCCAATGTGGCCAGAACATGTTCTTAGATTGGCCTATTTTTTTTCATCGATGTTGTGATAAACTAGCAACATTAGAATATTTTACAAATGTGGAACTATTCCAACATTAAGAACTTTTTGTTATTTATCTCCTTCCATCAATTATTGCTTTGATTTATGCATCGAAAAAACTATTAAAATATACATACAAAAGGAAAAAAAATAATGTTAGTAAAATAAAATAACTATTAAAGTAATGACACTAATCCCCGACAACGACACCAAAAACTTAATGCTTCAAACAATGAAAGATTTTAATGCTACATTGAGGTTGAGACAATTCTAGAAATTTGGATTGTAGGTGCTCCCATATATGTTGGAATTGTAGTTCCTGTTATATTTATTAAAAAATACATAAAATCGGGGTTTTGTGAACATTCATCAAAATTATGGTTATCACCAAAATAAATACAATTAACAAAAGTTGTAATTTTTATCTCATACGTACCTCTAGGATTTTTCATTTTCTTTATCATTTCAGTTAATGTTGTCACTTGTGTGGTCAGTGTGTTTAGAGCATCATCGTCCGCTGCTGCAACAACACGTCTACCCGATATAATCCTTATATTAGGGTATTGGTAGTATTTGTTGGAAATCCTCTTTAAGATATCATAAGGTTCGTTGTAGGGCTTTTCCAACAATGCTCTATTGGCGGAAGCATCTACAACCATCCTTGTTTTTATGTTAAGTCTATTGTAAAATATCTTTATTTGTGTATAATACTAGAAACCATGCATCATACATTTTTGTAGCAAGTTCGTAGACCTCTCATTTGCTTCATAAAAGTTTTCATTTTTGATTTGCTTGAAAGATGCGATGTCATTTCTTAGCCTTGCATTCATGTTAGGAGGGTTGAATCACATAAAGAACTTTTGAGCAAGTTTGTTCCATGATACTATAACACTAGGTGTCTACAAGTTAAGCCATGCCTTGGATTTTTTGCGAAACGAGTATGGGAGTAGCTTCAGCTTTAAGGCCTCATAGAGAACTCTTTATTGTATAAATGAATTACACACTTCCATAAATGCTCTCAAGGGTGCTCGAGGGTCCTCGGTGTGCATCCCACTATATTTCCCCATTGATTGCAGCATTTGGAACATTACTGGCTTCAATTCGAAGTAGGCAACATGGGTGGCAGGATGAACAATGAAAGATTTAAGTCGTCCAATGTGGCCAGAACATGTTCTTAGATTGGCCTATTTTTTTTCATCGATGTTGTGATAAACTAGCAACATTAGAATATTTTACAAATGTGGAACTATTCCAACATTAAGAACTTTTTGTTATTGATCTCCTTCCATCAATTATTGCTTTGATTTATGCATCGAAAAAACTATTAAAATATACATACAAAAGGAAAAAAAATAATGTTAGTAAAATAAAATAACTATTAAAGTAATGACACTAATCCCGACAACGACACCAAAAACTTAATGCTTCAAACAATGAAAGATTTTAATGCTACATTGAGGTTGAGATAATTCTAGAAATTTGGATTGTAGGTGCTCCCATATATGTTGGAATTGTAGTTCCTGTTATATTTATTAAAAAATACACAAACTCGGGGTTTTGTGAACATTCATCAAAATTATGGTTATCACCAAAATAAATACAATTAACAAAAGTTGTAATTTTTATCTCATACGTACCTCTAGGATTTTTCATTTTCTTTATCATTTCAGTTAATGTTGTCACTTGTGTGGTCAGTGTGTTTAGAGCATCATCGTCCGCTGCTGCAACAGCACGTCTACCCGATATAATCCTTATATTAGGGTATTGGTAGTATTTGTTGGAAATCCTCTTTAAGATATCATAAGGTTCGTTGTAGGACTTTTCCAACAATGCTCTATTGGCAGAAGCATCTACAACCATCCTTGTTTTTATGTTAAGTCTATTGTAAAATATCTTTATTTGTGTATAATACTAGAAACCATGCATCATACATTTTTGTAGTAAGTTCGTAGACCTCTCCTTTGCTTCATAAAAGTTTTCATTTTTGATTTGCTTGAAATATGCGATGTCATTTCTCAGCCTTGCATTCATGTTAGGAGGGTTGAATCGCATAAAGAACTTTTGAGCAAGTTTGTTCCATGATACTATAACATGATACTATAACACTAGGTGTCTACAAGTTAAGCCATGCCTTGGTTTTTTTGCGAAACGAGTATGGGAGTAGCTTCAGCTTTAAGGCCTCATAGAGAACTCTTTATTGTATAAATGAATCACACACTTCCATAAATGCTCTCAAGGGTGCTCGAGGGTTCTCGGTGTGCATCCCACTATATTTCCCAATTGATTGTAGCATTTGGAACATTACTGGCTTCAATTCAAAGTAGGCAACATGGGTGGCAGGATGAACAATGAAAGATTTAAGTCGTCCAATGTGGGCATAACATGTTCTCAGATTGGCCTATTTTTTTCATCGATGTTGTGATAAACTAGCAACATTAGAATATTTTACAAATTTGGAACTATTCCAACATTAAGAACTTTTTGTTATTGATCTCCTTCCATCAATTATTGCTTTGATTTATGCATCGAAAAAACTATTAAAATATACCTACAAAAGGAAAAAAAATAATGTTAGTAAAATAAAATAACTATTAAAGTAATGACACTAATCCTCGACAACGACACCAAAAACTTAATTCTTCAAATAATGTAACAGTAAAATGTAAGCATACACTATCGTATCAAGTAATAAAGTGGATGCAAATTAATACACTGAGTATCATATCCACAAAGACTAGTATTACTCAAAGAATTACCATATCATTAAATTGCGTAGGTGATGCTATGAACAAAGAAATAAAAATATAAAAGTAAAATAAATATGCAAATAAAGATATGAAGGGATGAAGGGAATCACAACAGTGGCAATGAAAGTAATGGATCGGTTCAAGCTAAATATGAGGGTTTTGTTAAAGTCAATCATGCAATTAACGATGCCACAATAATAAGATCGATGCGTCAAGCATTAACTTAGCATGTTTTCCTCTCTCGATAACTCCACCAAGAAACTCACCTCTCGATGCAATGGACTAGGCAATTATATATCTCTATATTAAAAGCCTTTATGAAATCAAGCAAACACAAATCAAATCAATGTAAAAAATTAATTAAACATGAAATTAATAAAATATATTTAAAATCATAAGCATCTGATGTTTAATAAACCCCACACAAATTAACGAGTATTTCAACTAAACAAAAATAAAACTCCATCTCAGAATTATTTTATCGTTTCCATCATTGATGCTCTTACCGATCACCAGCCACCGCCTCTTAGTTCATAATAACTACATGCAAGTACTTGAGTAGTAAGATGCTGTCAACAACAAACCCCCTAGACTTTTAGGTAGTGTAATCCCGTGAAGACTTTCATTCACTCGTGCTATTCGAGACTATCTTTCCTAAGTAGTATTCACTATGTATACCAACATTACCTTAGCAATGGAGTGTCCTAGAGCTAAAAGATTACTGTGAACAATTTATTCAACTAGAGCCAACTGAGCACCTCTAGAAATTAACACAAAAATTAGATTTTTTTTTTGATTTTTTTAAAAAATGCAAAATAACTAAATATTCTCCAAAATACCCATAAATGAACTGAACATGAAATTTGATAAATAATTATAGCATCACTAATGACTTCTCTTAATGTACCAAAGCAAGTGAATATATTCTTGTGAAGAATCTCAAAATTGACTTAGCACCATTTGAAGGTAATGCTACAACTTCAACCCACTTGGACACATAGTGAACAACAACGAGAATGAACAGATTACCGTAATAGGATGGATAAGGTCCCATGAAATCAAACCCTTAAACATCAAATAACTCAATCTCCAATATAGGATGTATTGGCATTTCATTACGAAGAGAAATGCTGCCAATTCTTTAACAACGATCACAATGCTTGAAAAACTCATTTGCATCCTTGAACAATGACGACCAATATTTTCCACATTGGAGAACTTTTGTTGTTGTACACATGCCTCCAAAATGGCTACCATAGGGTGCATTGTGGCAATATTGCAGAATGATTTGTTACTCACATCTAGGAAAACACCATATTAGAATTTGTTCATTGCATTACTTGAAAAGATATGACTCATCCCAATGATATGCTTTAACATCTCTCAAGATTTTGTTTCTTGGTGATTTAAATTAGATGGCAATAATCCACTCATAAGATAATTCACAAACTCAACATACCAAGGCAATATTATGACAATAAGAAGTCTTTCATCCAGAAAATAGTTAGCAATCACAAATTTACTTCCATCTTCACTTCTTAACTCTAACCAAGACAGATAGTCAGCTACTTGGTTCTCGATTCCCTTATTGTCTTTAATCTTTTCATCGAACTCTTGTAGCAACAACACCCATCACATCAGCCTCGGCTTGGTGTCATTCTTTGTAAACAAGTATTTCAGTGCTGAATGTACTGTATACACAATCACCTTTGTCCCTACAAGATAATATAAAAATTTATCGAAGGAAAAATAAAAGCAAGAAATTCTTTATTAGTTGTTGTATTGATGGTCTATGCATCATTCAAGATTCTGATCACATAATGTACGACATGGAAGATTTTATTCTTCCATTGCCCCAGCACTACACTGACA